ATCTTGCACGTTCTGTGGAGGTGCTCCCTCTCGACTGCCCCAATCGACTAAGTTCCTTTTCTCCTGCCTATTTCTAGGCGGAGGAGGTGCTTGTTCTTCCTGTTCTTGCCGAACCGATCTTTGCATGGGACGGACCCTATTGCTAGGGTTCTGCCCTATTCGGTTGAAGACACCGACTAACTTTTCTGGTTTGTATTCTGGTGGGAAGTTATCTCCTAGCTGTGGTTCTACTGGTCGGCTCTCCTGTGCATAAGATGTGACATCTACACCCATTTCTCTTTCGAGGGGGTGTTCCCTGCGCTGGCTTGAATGGCCTCGGCCATGAGATGTCGGAATTTCTTACTTTGGGTAAGACCCTTGAGGCATCTGGAAGCTTTGATGACCTCAAGCCTGTATGAAGAATTCATGCATCGCCATACTTTGAGCTGCAATATCTCTGATGCCTGCAGCTATTTGAGCCATTCCTTCCGTGAGTGTGGCAGTTCTTTCACCTCGACGACTCCGGTATTGGGTTCTCCGGTGAGTGACATTGTTTCGGAGCACCTCTTCTTCAGAGGCGTCTCTAAATCCAGGATTTGCATCCTCATTACTAGAACTCATCTTGTCCGCTCCTTTTTCAAGGGTGTTAAGAACTTAAATTGTAGGTTGACTTTGGTCTTTTTCAAGAACGTGCCATTTTCAAGGTAAGTCGACGGTTTCCCTGTGGTTTTTTTGGTGGAAAATGTAGAACTTTTGGACGGGGAGAGTTCCCACAGACGGCGCCAATCTATTGACCTCGTGAATTGGACCCTCCATGTGGCCAACGGATAGCTATTCCACGTAATCCTCCCTGCGCACAACAATGCACGGTTAGAAGCACACGGCAGGAAACCAGCGGCGGTGGCGGCGGTCGCCGCATGCACTCCGACGGTCAAGTCAATGTTTGACGATCGGAACAGTACTCAAGTTATGCAAGAGAGTGGGGAGGAGAATATACATTTCTTAATATGGAGAGTTAAGTTGTAAGAGTTTCATTACCTTTATCTTTTACCAAACCTTGAGTATTTATAGACGTAGAGCACCGTTGGATGTGCAACACGTGTATGCATCTGACGGTGTGAGGCGTCAATCAACCGCGTCTAGAGTGGATGGGCAACTAATTTCTTCTGAGTTGAGTTGACGTAAGTTGATACATCATATCAACTAGACATATGGAGACATCACATCAATTAATCCTTGGAGGCAGAGAGGATCCTGACACAGATCTTTCTGAAAGTAGCGGCGGAGGAATCTGTTAAAGGAATAATTCGGAGTGCCTACCACTTCGGCATCAGGGGGCACTTCGGCTGATTCAGTGGATCTACCCTGCGCCTCGCAGCTTGTCAAGTTGGGGGTCGTCGGATCATTTCGGAACCACTTCGGCTGGAGACGTGGCGCTTCGGAGAGTGGTGTGCCTGATGTTCCGAAGTGGTTCAGTTAAGGGTGTAATATTTATTATATTTCGATTTCATATACCAAACATGTCATATAATTAAAAATGAAAATAACATCAGAGTTACAGCCTTACAGGAAATGTTAGATAGTAGATGGCCTTGTACAGTATTAAGATGAAAAAAATAAAAATAAAAAAGTATCTTGAATGTTTAGTATATTATGTAGAAAATGCAGTTTCATTACATGTTTAGTAGCTGGCAGAATTAATTTTGAAAAACAAAAATATGAAAGCTTATGTTTAAAGTGGGAGATTCCTTTATCTATATAGAGAAATATGTAAATGAACTTATTAATAAATAATAATCATAAATTCCTTTCGCTATATAGAGAAAGTACTGAAAGATTTCATAATTATTTAATGAGAGATCTACTATAAATGGGATTGGAATAATGGAATGGGCTCCCTCTCATTAGTTTTGGAATTGATGCTTCTTCAAGAATCTCCATGCACGTGCCCTTCTTCATGCTCTCTCTCTATACATAAATTATATCTTCAATAACTTCCAATTTAATTTGCGATTCAATCAGTGCATAATTTTCATAAATAAGTAATAACAATAATTATTCCAAGTCTTCTCGCTTATATTCTAGATACGGTGATAAAAATCTCACAATAAAATTTGAACAATTAGTAGATATCATATGTAAGTTTAAAAATTAAAAATCTAGGACTGAATTCTTCAACCTTTTTGATAACGTGAATTTAGATCCTTATCATTCAAAAGTTAGATTAAAATTGCATGGACTTAGAGCTGAAAAAGTGGTTCGTTTACTTCAATGTTAAGTCAAATAAAAGTCACTTGCAATTTTAACGTCCACTTTTATATTTTTTATCACGTGAAAATACTCGCATATTTAAATAGGATAGAACCCAGAATTTTAATTTTGAAAGTTGAGATCCCAAAATCACACTAATCGAGACTTTAGAAAGAGAGAGACAGACGATCCCACTTCAAATTGATTTGATGAAGAGGGTCCATTGTCTTCTCCTCTATATCTGACGTGTGGTTTGCATTTTAACCAGAGATATATGTGAGTCGGAACGTACCATGTGTACATGCTTTGCAAACAAGCTATTGCCTGTCACTGTAAATTATATTTCACTAAAGTGCTGGTGCAGTAGAGAATGCATTCCATCATTCTTATGTAGTAGGGGACCCTATATAATCTCGTACATGTCCACAAGATCCATTGTCGTCTAATAATTTAAGCGTCTTACTTTTTTCAAAAAAGGGTTTTCACCTTTCATATCATATCGTTTACATGTTTTACATTTGTATTTCCGCGCAACTTAGATAATAATGAGTAGTAGAATAGCACCATACACGAAAATAAAGCAGATTGAAGCCTTAATTCAGTTCAGTTAGTTTGATTGTTGAATATACCTTATTACCCTATTAGGCTACTGCATGTGCTAAATTTAATGTACATGGGATTCAATTTTTATCTATGTTTAGGCTTCCAAGATGCCCTTTTTTCAACCTCTCAACACTTATTTTTTCTATGTTGAGGCAAGTCAATTAACTGCTCTAGTAGGTCAGCGGGCGGAACAAGGAGAGAGCCCGCCAAATTATACCACGGTGGATAAAAAAGCGTGTTCCCAAGAATTTCATAATCAGTTAAGGGAAGGCTACTCGAATCAAGAAGCACCATTCATTTTTCTATGTTGGGATGAGTTAATTTACTGCTCTAGTACATTATTTATAACACTATTAATCGATTGTACATATACATTTGCTTGTATTAAAATCTATATAAAGTTACACACTCAAGAATGAAGAATTTTTTGTGTTGAACAAAAAAAAGCACAAAGGTAGAAAATCGTGATTCGTTTATGTCACACCAAAAAAAATAACAAAATGTAAATACTTCATTAATCATTGAACTTATAAGGCTGTTCCACTTTAGTCAGCATTTCTTTTTTTCTTTTTTTCTTTTTTTTTTTTATTATAACAAAAGCCTCAGCTCTATGCCTCGAGCATCAAGTTTTGAAAAAGGGTTTAGTGTGTTAATATTTAATATAAACCAAAAAGAAATTATAATACTTCAATTTGTTTTTATATATTTCACACGTTCATCAAGATGGATCGAATAGCTTATCCTAAAGAAGAAAGAGTAGTTATGTTCCTTGGTTCCATTCCAAAGTATTCGGAAATTTGTGACTTCTATGCTCTTAAAACCTTTCAAATCTAACTTGCACTTAGATTGTTTTTGCATATTTGAGTTTTTGAATTGCGATTAAAGAGTTAAAACTCTTGTTATTGCCCACTGGATTCAAATGTCTTTTTGTCGGTCAACGGTCAAATAAAAATAGTAGAATGAGTTTCAACCTAAATCAACATATCAAGGATTTAGTAGGGAACCAGTAAACAATTGTTGACAATAGATAAGAATCATGCTAGATGTACAAGTAAAATTTCAAAAAAATTTTACAGGTTTCCACTTGGCATTTTTACATTGGTCCTTGACAAAAACACACAATAAAGGCATCATTTATGTGCTGTCAATGCAACACCAGTAAGCAGCTTGTAAACAATTCCCTTGTACAAGGAGAATTGTTCAATTGATAAGAATCATGCTAGGTGTACAAGTAAAGTTTCACGGATTTTTTACAAGTTTCCACTTGGCATTTTTATATTATTCCTTGACAAAAACACACAAAAAAGGCACCACAGCAGCACCTGTAAGCAGTCTGTAAACAGTTCCCCCGTACAAGGAGATTGTTCACAGATTTTTTTTACAGGTTTTCACTTGGCATTTTTACATGGGTCATTGACAAAAACACACAATAAAAGGGAAATTGTTCAATAGATAAGAATCATGCTAGGTGATAATTTTCTGATAGCATGTGTATCAATATGAAATCTGGAAAAAAATAAAAAAAAATCACAAAATAGTACGAAAGGAAAGAGGTATTATTAAATTAAATCGCAAAAATATCAATTCCATTTGCATAAAATCATGAGTAATCAATGCCTAGGAGATACTCTGCTATAGTGATACAGAAACATACTCAAATTCAGAGGTGGTGTAGAAAATGGAGAGCGAACGCTCATTCATTTACATATTTACGTACTCACATTAATGGAATGCGAAAAAAATCTCATCGACTAACCTCTGTGAGCTGTTATATGGCTTGAGTAAGTCGCAGTTAGATTTTCTCCACTTTCCCAATGACTATCATATAAACCATGTACACGAGACAATGATATAAAAGTGCAAGTTCAATTCCAACAATAAAAATCATCGATATATTCGGTAAATGAAGCAAAACCAGAAGCTCTACCAGTCTTCAAGCCATTCTGGAGTGTTAAGTTCTTCTACATCTTTAAGTGGGGAATAAATGGAAGCTGATGCATCCTCGGAATAACTTTCCATGCGTTGATTTATACGCAAGAGAATCTCATTGGGAACAGGAACCATACGATGTGCTAATCCTTCCCAATCAACACCATCAAACCAAGGATGACATTTGATAGAGTCGATGCCTTGGCTTCCTAGCCTCGTGCTTTCGTCAACTTCAAGTAACTGAACCATATGATTCATTAGAATCGAGCTATGTAAAACTTCATGAAATACGGAAATAACTTCACAATTTCAGTTTCACCTTAGTGATGAGATCAACAGCTTCAAGACTGAAAGTTTGCGGAAGGGTTAGCTGTCCTTTCACAATTCTAGCAAATGTAAGCTCACTTTCTCTCCAAGATCCGAAAGGCATTTCACCTTGTAGCATGAAGTAGATGAAAGTTCCCAATGCCCACCTAATCAACTTAATGTAAGTGAAGAATTTCTGGGATGGCAGATAATAAAAAAGCAGGAGAACTAATAATAATAATAATGCGCCATTCAACCGTAGAAAATGGTATATACACACATACAGAAGGTCAAATCATCTATGGAAAGAACTCATACTTCCAAAAGATCATGAATATTTCTAAATGTGAAGGAAAATACGGTATCTTCAATCGTTTGAGTAGAAAATTATTCAGAATCCATCCCGGCAACAAGAATGGCCTTCAAAGTTGATAAACTAAGGGTGCCTATGTGTAGCATCCTTATATGCTATAAAATGTTCGAATTTACGTTCTTATACGTATGATTATGCTTTCTCGTGGGAAAAAATTACAGTGATTAGATGGCAGATACCATGAGTTTGATTGTGATTGTTATTTTTGGGGGGGACAGTTTTAATCAATCGTTTTGGTAAATTATAAGCGAAGTCAAATAAACCATTATAGAATTCTAAGTAATGATCGAAGAAGCCGGCAAATAGAAATTGCAGTAGCCTGAGAACCTGTAGTTCCAAATTGTGCATTAAGGATAAACTATATTCGATTCTTGGGGAACCATGAGGTAAGAAGACAATATTTACCGGACCTTACTGAACTTAACATCATAATCCACTCAGATACTCAAGAAACGCATAAACAGTATGTCTTCACAATCAAAAAGGAACCATCATCTAGACTATAATTTCTTGTATTCCTATAAATCTACAGGTCAGTTCTAGTTATACCAAATACCATTACAATCAGATGTATCTGCAGGTGTAAAGATATGCCTTGGACCAGGCAGTACATTTCAGACCTGAACATAAAATACAGTGATATAGAATAGAAAAATAAGGTAACAGATTGACAGGTCTTTTTTTCCCATCCATATGTACTAGTTACACAACATATAAAACACATGACTATACCTCTAGTAAACATGTACGACCTAATATTAAACCAGAAAGCAAGTGAAGATGGTGTACCAGTCAGCAGGAAAACCATGACCTTTCCCCTGGATTATTTCTGGAGCCAAAGAATTCGCCATCCCACATAGAGTATATGTTCTCTCACCAAAATCACCAGATAACATCTTTCCAAATTTGAAATCTACTAGCTACAGTGAACGAAGAAATAAATGATGGAAATGAACTAATCCAATTGGCCTTATTTTGTAAGGTCGTAAAACACGTACAAATATTTCAGATCAAAGAAACATAAATAATGTATAACCTGTATATATCCTGTCTGGTCAAACATCAGAACATCGGGAGACACACCTCGATAGAGAATGCCCATCTGAAAATAAAACAAAGACAGATGGATTTATTATTTTTTTAAATATCATTGGCACATAGGAAAATGAAGTTGAACTTGCAAATACTACCTGAAGCAAATCATACTAAAAAGATCATTGGAATATTGGAAATTGAAGTTAATCTTGCAAAAACTACCTTGTGCAAATCATCTAAGGCAATAACAACAGATGCAGCACAGAACCTTGCAGATGGTTCATCAAGTGCATTGCGAATTATTGAGATCGCTGAGCAGGCAATACATGTATCTAAAAGTATGCCAGCATGTGTCTGATTAGCAGAAGTGCATATAACTCGAGGCACAAAGGTAGACTGCCTTATATGCTTCATTAAATTCTTCTCCTTCAGGACTCGTGCCTCTTTTCCAAGGTTTTTAATCTTCTGTTTTGAAAACCTTTTCAAGCTAAGCAAATTATCTGCAGATCAGAGGGAAGAAGATTTTATCTGATTTCCAATGGATCTTTGCCCTGTATATTATGAACCAAATGCAAGAACTACACCGTATCGGAGCATAAAGACCAGTAAGAGAAGTTGGAAAATTTCCTATTACCTCTAAGAACTAGTGAATTTTAAGGATAGTGGATTACATAATGAAGTCAGAAAATCCAACCTGAGTCTCTCAACAGTACTAGGCCAATCTCGCTGCAGTCTGTGGAGCACAAACACGTTCTCCACTCCTTGATAAAATAACAATAGAATTACTTAACTTCCCATTAAAGTTTATCAAAAAGATAATCGAGAAGAACAACATTATTGCTTACCAGATCAGCAGGTTGGACTTTCCCAATAGTAGAACTCTCCAAATTTTTGTTAGATTCAGTAGAGATACTAGTAGAATAGTCCTTTGCCCGAAACAATCTAACAAGCACAAACACTTCGGTCAATGTAACAATTGAAAATTGAAAGTTGACCAAGAAAACATGAATTCAGAATTCATCCGTGGAAACTAGATATATATTTAGTTGAGCTCTTTAATGCTATTGTAGACAGTAATTTGTGCCATACTTATCATTTTCTTGTGAATGCTTTGCGAGGGATCCCACAACTGAGTCAAACTTTTCCTTTGTTAAGATGGAGCATACCACGTCACCCACGGCAGTAATACCTAAGGGAGCTATATTTTCTCCAAGAAGTGTCCATTCGCCAAAATAGCTTCCGTCAGTCTTCTCCACAGAGAATCTATTGCCTTTAATTTCATCATGCTGCTTCTCAACTTTATGCATCAGGCTGGATGCATTTACGCATTTTACTGAATCCATGTCACAAGTAATTTTTACTACTCCCTTCTGTATTATGTACAAACCCAAAAGGTCCTCACTCTGCACATGCATACCAAAGAGAAATAAGAGAACAGGGCAACTAGAAAGAATATTCAGATTTACAAACTAAGTATACCGTATTGACTATTCTCTGCCCATCAGAGAATGACACCTCTGAAAGAGAATCTGCAACATGACTCAGCTGTAAGATTGTCAACCTCGACAAAATATCTACTGATTGAAGTAACTTCAATGACGATAAATTAGAGAACTCTGACATAAGAATTTCTCTAAAATCTTCTCTTTTAAGTGCCCATAAAGTTCCATTGGTCACAGCACGAACAGAAGCTTGCAAGGGTTTATTATACCTGTAGCTCAACAAAGTTAGAAAAATGTAGATTATAACATTGACTGCAAATATTAGGCGTGTCTGTAAAAATAAATGGGTGTAAAATGTATTATACTGTGTAGGTGACTAATGTTTGAAGAGGTTTAAGAATTGCAGCCATGCAAGTTAACAACATAAAACTAACAATTTAAATATTAGTGATCCCCGAGAACCTAACAGAATGCACATGAATGCTCTTTGAACAAATTTTAAGCCCGCCATAACCCCTAGACATAGTGTCAAATTGCCAATATAAATTGAATGACAAAGCATCTCCAAGAACCAGGCACTGCCAACTTAATTTTTTTTTTTTTTTTTTTTGTGTAATTTCATTGTGAGCTAAATTTCTTTTTATTTGAAACAAAATCTTGTTTGAACTTTACTTCTGGAGGCTTACTGTGGTCAATATAAAAATAAAAGCATGGTCATGACATTAAAATTATTTATGAAACTCATTGACAATGTAATTGTACCTACGATTTAACAAAAGAAGCAGTCAATCAACCAGGCTTATATAGAGGAACAAGACGCCTAATAAAATAGAATATGAAGCTTAAACCAAAATCAATAGCCACCAGACTTCATGTATACATTCACCAGTTTTCAAACCACATTATTGTATTTTTTCAACCATGAATGAAAAGAAATAAAAGCTGACTGTCTAGTCAATTTATTCGTTCATGACTGGAAGCATTCAGAAATGTGTCTCTAGACCGTACATGTGACAGTGAAGTTGGATTTATAAATACACTGTTGAAAGGAAGTAAGAAACAATAATAGCACTGAAGTATAAGATGTATGCGAGAAGTTACCAAACTAATGCCACCAACCTTTTATCGATGTAAGCCATAAGCCTATTTGTAAGATAACATATTGTATGATGTGGGAAATGGTGTTGAATGCTCTGAGCATGACCCATTAGAGATTGATTAAAAATAAGGTTACAGAAATCTTCAGCCTCATAAATAATTAACACATAAGAAATTTCAATCTCTTGGGATGAAACCTGCAGCATACAAATGAAGTCGGTCACACACTATGACTATAGACACATGGAAGACATAATAGTGATCGGAGTAAGAGCACCTCTAAAGAGCATAAGCTTTATGATGTGTGTGCGTGTATGCATATGTCAATCTACATATGTAGAGGGGGGGGGGGGGGGGGGAATTTATAGCAATTTATTTGGAGTGTAATGGTCCAAAGAAAACCTCTAAAGATCATCATGCAATAATTAGCAGCACAAGTCACAGCACTGCAATGTGCTAAAACAACAACCGAACAAATCAAAGGAAGTGCCAAACTATGTCCATTTAACAACTACTATGAATTTTTCTCAGAAATTGGCCACAAGATATCACTTCAGTTGACTCCGCAACAAGTCACCTCTATATTCATAACCATTTTTACATGTTTAATGTTAGTCATACCATGTCTGAGTTCATATTGTTACATATAAGTTTCTGCAGTATCTCTGATTAATGACAAAGACAATTAACATATGCTGTAAAACATCTGTTCAGACTATACAGGGCCATCAACAGGAAACTGGGTGAAACTAGTAGCAACTTTTAGAGCAAACATATGATCTCTCTCCTCGTTTGGCGAAATGACCGTAAAAATCCTGTGGCATAAGATAAGTTACCTGCACCATATCTCAATTAATGCCATTATGAAACGGCAGATCGTTTTTCTTCATCCAGACAAAATTTAATTTAAATTTTAAGGCGTCAATTAAATGGGAGATATTCGATAGCTTCGGTTCTGCCTATCCCTCAAACATTCTTCTTTTAATCTTTTTTCTCCAAGTTGCTGTAGATTATAATGTTGGTAGTTCAATATGTTTAGATTTTACAACAATGAAAATAAGAATTATTAAGAGAATAAACGCAAAGAGTGAGCAGGAGAGAATATTGTATATCTCATTTAACTTTAATGCTGCAACATAATTCTTCACTCATCCTTTTTAAGTTATAAAGAAAACATGATTATTTGGTTTCCATGTTTTTCCCTTTTAGTTTACCAGATTTTTGGTTCTTTGCTGACATTCTTTTGAATTCAACGTTAGAAAATAAATATTTAGGCATATGCTCTAGCCTTGGAGTATTTGCTGCACATCACCAAAGTCAAATGCTTTGACTTGAGATATTTTGTTTTGGAAATAACCATTTCAAACAAGTATAGACAAAGGCAACAGCAGTAAATAACTAGCACTAGTTTCATCCATGGATATCAGAGAATATGAATCATTTAGCACTCCAAGTACATCAAACTTAAACAAAAGAAGAACTATCATACCATCTCCACGACAGTTTGGCTGGAAAGAAACTCAAACACCCCATCACTGGCAATCACAAAGAACGGATTATTTGAAGTGAGCTCCAAAACAACAATTTCTGGGTTTGCTACAACACCTACTGTCTCGGCAATGGAATCACCTATACTTCTTGTAAATGCTGTACCAGGATACATCCCATTTTGCACCCAGATTCTAGGAGGATCACCGTCATCGTCTTCTTCAGTGCCCCAGCATTGCACATCTGGGGTCTTGAGTCCTTCAATCTGATCCAAAGTGAGAACTCTTGCTCCACAAAGCTTCACACGTTCAAGTTCATCAGGCCGGAAAGGAGTTTGATCAATTGATAGGTCCACAGCAACAATATCGTTCCCTCTTCTCTCAGCTATAAGAGCTCTCGAATCACCTGCATTGGCAACATAAAGTGTCTTACCACGAACTAGAACTGTGATCGCAGTTGTTCCACTCATGCTATCGTCTAAGACATCGTCGTGCAACTGTGAATTTGTTGCCAAGAAAGCAGCATGACAGGCCTCAACTGCATCCACGTGAAATTGACTATTCCTAAGCAAATTTTCGCATAATTTCTGCTTCACAAAATTTGAGCATTGAGCTCCAACCTCCCCATGTCCATCAAATACACCAAAGAAATGATCATCCAGGTTTGAACCAAACGGAGTATGAATGCAAAAACTATCTTGATTAGCCTTATCAAGAGCATCAGGATAATATCCTCTCTGAGACAAAAACGAGTAGCACAATTCAAGATTCCCGGATGGAACCTTCACAGTTCTCGAGCCGTCAGGTGGTAAAAATTGCGCCGACACCCTGGACAGTCTAGTAATACCAACTTCATTATCCCTTGCTAACTGATTCAATTCATCTCTGATTTCCCCTTCTTCACTGTCAGAATGAGCAGGTGAGAACACTGTAATCTCAGCTGCTGCTTTCACATTTTCAGTTTCTTTAACATAGATATCTCTAGGTGCACATATTTCACCAATACAAGACCTCGAATAAACACAACCCATTATTCAAAACAATAGCTTTTGACAAAATCCAGTCACAATTCCCAAAATATCCATCAGGTTTCCAATTCAAAAGCAATAATCACACAATTCTATTTTCTGCAATAGCCCACATGAACATCCACCTTAAACAATAGCTGGAACAAAATTTCTCCACCAACTGGTTCTCTGGAGTTCACTTATTTGAAAAGTGAAGATAATGAAGCCAAATCTATGACAGTGCAAGAGAACTAATCAGGTCCAACTCAATTCTTATCTATTCCAAGCACCAACAAAATTCCCATTTCTAGCTTTAAAAACCCACAATTCAGATCCAAGAAATTCCCAGAATACTCCTTCATCAAGAATTTATATACAGTTAGATACAGAAACAGAGTAATTACATATATAACTATAAACATGTAGCAAGAACGGGAACAGAGACAATAAGTGAATAAATGTGTGAACTTGGAAACTTACTAATGGAAAGAAAGTGCAGTGGATGTGAATGAAAAGTAGATGACGCGGCAGTGTGGGGCTACAGGGGAGAAGGAAGAGTGTTCGATGGGGAGACGTAACAGTGCATGTGTGGATGGAGAGTTGGGCCTCCTCTCTCCAAAGCTTTTTGCGAAGGAGGTAAGGGAAATTGAATAGCCCACGCGCGACCATTTGTGGTTTGATCTTGGGATAATTGGGGACCCACCCAAATAAGCTAGCAGTGATTTTTTCCTTTTCGAGAGCTAAATAAGAATCACTTTACTTGTACATTTTATTTGACATCATTATTGATATTGCGTCACGTATCGATACATAATTGGACAATTTTTGAATTCAACACATTTTCCCATCAAAATATTTTTGAATTTGTATACAATGTCATCTAAATTATCATCCATAAAATGTACAAAAAACTTTATTCGCTAAATAGAATAATGCTATTCGTAAATGAAAAATACATGCACCAGTCTGACCCGCTCTGTCCCGTATTTTCCTGCCTTAGTCGAAATTGGGGTGACCCTTGTTCGGGGTTGGAGACGAGGAATATGGTTTTCTCCTCGAATTTTGTTTTTATATTTTTAAATTTAAATAGTGGACAAAATCGAAAATAGTTAAATCAAGTCATGTTGTCATTTTTAAGTATTTGTCTGTTCCTCATTTTTAAAATTCATTTTATTTTTTATCAAGTTTTTAACCATATATTTCATTACTTTTATCAAAATTTACTAAAAATATAATTTGTAACTAAACCAAACAACGACTTGTACACGATGAAAATTAAAATGACTGAAGTAAGAATTAGTCTTCTTTTTAAATACTTACGATATTTAGACACTCTTCTACCAAGATATTTCAATAATTTCAACATATTAGCACTTAAAATTACAAGAGAAATATGATAGGATATGACGATATGTAGTCCTTTGGACTTCGACAATCAAGTCATTTCCCTAAATCCGTTTATAGTTGTTCGATAGGGCAAAATGTTGGAAATTTTTGCAGTCAAATCAATATTGAACGAAATACCTAAAAGTACATAGTAAAATTAAGTATTAAAATATTGTTTAAATGAAAAACCCACATATTAATATCTTCTCAAATGGTTTTCTCAATCTAATTAAACGACCAAAGAAAAATACCTCTTTTCCACACATTTTATGCAGAATCTTGAAAAGAATGAACTATCGGCGTTTTAAAAAGCTCGTCTAAGCGGCTTCTAGGTGCCGTTTCAACACAAGGTTCAGGCGAAAAGCCACCCCTTGGCAATGAATGCCTAGTGGCACTTTATTAATTTTTTGTTTTATTTTTTTCCTTTTTTAAAAGCCTTTTATTTGATTTTAGTTTCAAATTTTTAAATGAATTTATTGGTACAAAAGTAACAACGAAAACAAATTAAAAAATTTCAAGTAAGAGTTGTCTATTTTAAAATTGAAATTATGGAAAAGAATTATTCTTGGGGTATATAACCCCAAACATAAGTTTATGGACTTGGCGCGTAGGCGCCCCGCCAATAGGGGGCGCCAGAATGGACTCCCTTATGTGCATCCATGTACCCCAAGAATAACCCTATAAAAAATAGTCTAACTTTTACATTTTGAAAACTTGAATGTTGTATAATTAATTAATTGCAGAAATGATTAGTATTTTATAATTTTAGATGTTTCATATGTATTATTTTAAATATTAAATAATTTTTAAAATGATTAAAAATTTAAATAATTTTTAAAATAAGAAAACACTTTTTTACGTCTAGGTCTAGTCTAGAATTGGCTTTCACACTTGATCACGCTTTACGCTTTTTAAAACACTATTTCAAACTAATGAATCTTCTTTAAAATTCCTCCAGTACGACTACATAAGTGTGTGGGCACTCGAATCTCTAGACCAAGAAAGACCATCTAAAATTTCTTTCGAGCGATGTATACTGATAAATAATTAATCGAAGGGCTCTTAATCTAGTTTTTCATAATAAAAATTGTGAAGAATGTAGATTCTAATGTGGTTACAAAATATAGTCAATTCCAAGCCGCATTGCCCCAGTTCGAGAAGTTATACAAATCTTTCAAAATTAGTTTTGCTCTTCAATTAATTTGGCCTTCTACGTCGCCTTTTAGATTATGTTTATTAAAACTTTTAAAAATTACAAATTGGTCAAAGATAATATTTATCCAAACATTATGTAAGATCCACAGTTTTTATCCACTTATTATTAATACAGTCCGTCAAACTCACAACTTATAATCTACAAAAGACTTTACCAAACATACACAACGTCTCGGTTGTTTAATTTCTTTGTGCCTTATCAGATCGAGCGTACAGATTGTATTACCCACACTAGATTAGATATAACAAGAAAATCTTGTTAAACCAATATTAATTTCAATATTCAGTAGATATGAGTTGAAACTTATTATCTATAAACACATCGATTATTGGCTAATCTAAAATATAATGCACAAACATCAAGTTATATCCTCAATATAGCTCAACTCATTGGTTTTGGATTTGATGTATCACTTCGCTTATCCTATTCGAATATTCTCTAGACAACTGTTGTAAACAATGATAATGTGAGCAGACATGTCCTATTCTCGCACCTTATTTAAGAAGCCGCGTGCCCAATATCTCTAAATTCTAAAATATAAATTGAATCTCTATATAAAGGGGAATGAAATCACAAGTGAAGGACTAATGCATGAACCATTTTTAGCCCTCAAATATATGTTCTATATCTATCTCTTTCATCTACTGATTCTTGCGTCGGGGTGGTAACAACCCAACTTTATGCTGGTGTCACGTCTGCCACGATCAATGAGGGACAAGTTACTTTATTATCAACTAGCATTGTATTATTTTTATAATATTTATTCATTATCTTGAGCCATTCGTACCAGTATATCCCACTAACTCATGATCATATAACCTGATCGTGGTCCCTTTAGATTTTGTAATCCAAGGAGCAAATGCCCTTCATTTTCCTAGGATTAGTACTTGACAATCTTATACTTTAAGATGGTCGGCACCTAATCCTACTTTTCAAGAAAATATACTAAACTATTTTAGCACTTTTGAGTTTACAATATAAATAAGCTAATGATTTTTATTAAAAAAGATGTGCACTTTGTCGAGAATGATGCAGAGACTTTAAAGATATTTTTATCTAAAAGTCTAAACAATTTGAGATGATGCATATCATGTATTTAAATATGAATTTCAATGTGTCCCTTCCAAGTGCAAGTCAATTCATTTCTTTATTAAAGGCATGAACACGAATTGAGCCCAATCGCCTAGTAAACAGCTATGTATGGAACATGTTATTTATTTAGATTTTGTCGTGCTTAGTACTTCTATAAGATATATTGCTCCTTTGTCATATCTCTCTCTTTTTAAGAAAATTGATCTACTTAAAGTATAAGTAATTAAAATTAATTCTCGTTATCTTGTCAATATATAGCTTTTAACATTTTAAGAATAGAGATCATTCAATTGAAGACTTGAAAAAAAGATAATTTTAATAATTAATTGGTTTTATTATATACTAAAACTTTAAATATAGAGAATCTCACGAAATATGGATAAAAATGAATAGTAGTTATAAATACTTGATTAAAATTAATATTTGACTTTGACTGAATTAATAAATTTGAATCAAAACGATGGCTAAATTGCATGAAAACTTTTAAATGAATGTACATATAAATTAAAACCTTGTTTGAGCCCCAATTTTTCCATCAAAATACATTATTTAACATTAATTTAACTTCATTTCAACCACATATTTTTCGATAAAATAATATTACATACAAATTCATGACTTTTCTTTATTTTTTAACTACACATTTTCTATTAATACACTATTCAAAAATACATTTTTTTTGACAAGAATGAGGCTCAAACAATGACTAAATATGTATCTAATGCGCGTGAATTTACCTTTCTACTATCCACCGCCCCAATATAGGCAGGGAGGATGTATACTTCTCATAAGTTTGAGACAGGCAAATAGTCATATGGGGCCTAACTTTATTTTTGAATAGATAGATTGACATTCCATTCGGGACTTTCCTTTTAGTTCATTGCATAAAGGCATGGGTATGTTCGTTTCTTGATTTTTTTGTAACTAAGAAATTTGTAAAACAATGGAGCTCAGGATTAGTATTGAGAAAAGCCGTGTATGTTAAGATAAACGTGGGATCACTAGTAAATTAACTAAAGTTGATTACAAAAAAGTAGTGTTACTATTTGATTAGTTTAGTTGTTTGTCGACGAGTGAAGAGAAGGACGACTATGTAGTTGTGATATGTATAATCTAGAGCCTCTTCTTTTTGACGGAAGGACGAAACAAATTTTTGTAAATCAAAATAAATTTATGCAAAAAAGAAGCGATAGCTGCTTGGGGTCAACTATAAATTAGGTTAAAATCGAGTTTCAATAGAGCGATCTTGTTGTACCCCAACGGAGTCTATATTATTGCAATGCCTTCAAATGGACAAGAAACCGATCATGTGCACGAAAAACTATAAAGGTAACAGCTGGTTGATGCTCGAAAGTAACATAGAAGCGAGGCCAAACTGAGCAATCTGTCTTGTCTACTTTTGAAGCTTAAACATGAGCATATACATTATTTCAACCTTTATACAAAATGTCTGCAGATGCTTTTGTTTCTCTCCTCAAACTAATGTGACTCGAGTTGGTGATCTACGTGGTGACTACTTACGCTTTGCACTTTCAATTTAAATTGTTAATCGTTTCATCTTAAACTTTAAATCGTTAAAGATAGATCACATACATGTTTTAAATCTCGTCTTTAGATTTTCAATTAAAATGTTTAGTAGCTCTCCCTTAAACTTCAAATTGCCTAAGACAAAAACTCATGCACCATGCGCACGCGTGTGCACACTTGTTTCTGCTAGACCTAATGTCATGAAGAGTATTTTGGAAGTGCATACTGATGTAGCATGATAACTTATATGCATCTTGGGATAGCATAATATTTTACTGAAAACTCGCACCATTTAAGTAGGTCACAATAGCTCGACACTATAGGTTAGCATGTGACATGACTAAAGTTGCCCTCTCATGTCCTCTTATATCTATGATACTGAAAATGTAGTTTGCAATATATAACCATGCACGCCAAACAAATTTAAGTCTTTATGACGATTTTGCTCTCCGTAGTGCTTAAAGTTACACGTAATTATCTCGCTAGGTAAATCAAAATTTGTTCCTACAAGGTAATAGTACACCCCAATTATGCATAACTTAATTAACGAACATATCATCTATCTTCATCGTTTGGTTCCTTTGAGAAGGGTGTGATACCATCATCTATCAGGCCTAATGAGCAACCCACAGAATTACATCCCTACTCACCTAGTCTATGCATATCGCTCTCTCCAAGAGGTTGACCACCTATCCTAGATCTTTCAATTTCCAAGAAAATCCCCGTCTTGATTTGGTTTAGTATAAGGTAATTCTGTTGAATATAGACGCACATGTTATAGCTAAAATTTTTAGACAAAAGGGATTTATTTGTATGGAAATAGAACGAGTAAAATGAGTTTTTGATTGTTTAAAAATGCATTCTAATGGCCACTTGTGGACCCACAGTGGGTCCTAGTGGTTGCTTGACCGACCAAGTTAAAATTGATTCCCCCCCCCCCCCCCCCTAATAGTGGTTGCTTGACCAAAAAAAAAGTGGTCCCCCCCCCTCCCCCCGAAATCAGATTTGAAGCCTTAGGAAATTATTTTCTTTTTGATGATTTCTTTTGAATTTCTTATGAAATGGAATTGGGGGTTCCCTCAAATGCTCTAAATTCTATCTTGTTGACAATTTTATGGTAATAAATTCTTGCTGTGATTTTTGTCTTTGTTTGAACTGAAATGCAGTTGATAATGTAATATTCAGAATTTACTATGATTTTTGTATTTTTTTTCCTTATAATAGACCCCTCAAGTGCTCTAAATTCTATCTTGTTTTGACAATTTTATGGTAATAAATTCTTGATGTGATTTTTGTCTTTGTTTGAACTGAAATGCAGTTGATAATGTAATATTCAGAATTTGCTATGATTTTTGTATTTTTTCCTTATAATAGATTGTTTTCATTAATTGTGATAAGAAAAATAATTTAAATGTAAATATGCATTTTTATTTTATTATCACAATGTTAATGAAAAGATTATTCAAAATAAAAATGATGTTGGAGATAAAAAAGATGATAAACTTGGTGATGTTTGAGATAAACGTAATTTTGTATTCTTTGCAAGTTTGATTGTACCCCATCAACTCAAAATGTCTATGTCCACCATTGCTAATGTCTTATTTGAGTTGTTGATCCCACTGTCATGACTTTTAACAATTATTATCGTATGACGATATGTAAACTAAATGCTACAACTTTGAAAAACTGATGAGATTGTTAGGCTATGAGTCCTTTCATTTTAAACAAAAGAAGAAATAATTATGGGAGCATAACTAGGGCTGTAAATGGGTTATCTGTCCAAATTTGATACAATATGATAAAAATAATTATTCAATTTAATTCAATCCGATAATTCAATGGATATTTGACTGTTAAATCCAAATATCCGATTCGAAAATCCGATTGAAAATTAAAAAAATTAAAAAGACAAAAAAATTTTATTAGTCAACTTTGAAGTCTTAGAATTAGCCCAGATAATTTTTTATTCAATTCTTGGCCTACCTATTTATAGATTACAAATTTTATCACATTTTAGTAAGTATACAATCTAGGAAGTGAAAAGTTGGGAATAATAAAATCAACTCCAACTATTGGCTCATTTGGTTATTTAGCAGGTGTTTGACACCAATTTTTATAGAAAAATGAATTTTAAAATGATAAATTGATGGAGAATGTGTGGATGAAAAATAAAGAATTTTTTTTTATTACGTGTAATATATTTTAATGAAAAATGTGTGGGTAAAAAAATAGAGAGAAAAATGTAATTGGATAAAAATGAAAATTAAACGGGACCTTAATTTACAAAATAAATTAATTATTTTTATCTTATTTTAATTAATAAAAAAATAAAAACTCTTCAAAAATTTCAATTAATAATATTATACTATTATGTAATACTATTTATTATTTGAAAATTATGTTTAAAGTATAATATAAGTTTCAAAATGAGAAAAATTATGTATAATAAATTATGCGATAATATATAAAATATATTATGGGCTCATTTGAGTCACATTATTTCAAAAAAATATATTCTTCAATAGTAATTTGACATTATTTCAACCACACATTTTCAATAAAATAATATTACACACAAATCTAAAGCTTTTCATTATTTTTTAACTACATATTTTTCATTTATTTGACATGAATAATGTATTTTTTTATTAGAATGTGGCTCAAACATGGGCTATATTATTATAACAAATCAGATCAAACTGTTATCGAATCGAATTGACTTATATTCATATTTGTTTCATTTAGTTAACAAATTATTGGATTCGGATATTGATTTGTTTATCAAACTAAGACCTTAAATCCATTCCTCACTAATTTCATTGAAATTGAATCGAATTCAGATCAAAATTCAATTCATTGACGGCTGTATGCATAACCCTACATTTATCTTTCTATTATTCTAATAAAGGCTAATTATTTGTAAGATGTGAAGCTTAAGCATCATTGTTGTATGTAGTCGGTGTCTGGATCAACCTTCTTTAAGATTGAAAACACTACTAAAAAATTCATTGTTATCAGAAGGCTCAAACAAGGGCTAATTGAACTTTTATTTTGCTCCGTGTTGAACTGAAGCAAAACGGCTAGTCCACTTTCCACTTCCCACCACGGAAAACCCTAAAGCGCCCCTAATTCAAAAATGGTTGAAGAAGAAAACAAAAACGAGGATAAGACAAGGGAAAATCCATGTACGACTAAACAATCCTCTAAGAAACGAAATCGCAAAGAAGTTGCGATTTTTGGAAACTACAGAAATTACTATGGATACAGAGTACACCTCTTCTCTTCTATTCTTGTCATATTTCATTTAATGAATTATATATTTTGATAGTTGTAAATATTTCAGCATGATCATCAGTTGAATTAGTTCTTTGGCCCTACCTGGTGTATATTTTATGGATATAGAGCACTGATCTTTTTCGTCTGTTCTCGTTGTATTTCGTTTATTTTTCAGAAATTTAATTTGATGGTATATATAAACGTTTATATTTTGTTTGGTTGTGTATATTTGAATTGGTTAACAAATATTGTGGCATGAAAAGTGCATGTGTTAAATAAGTTCCACGAAATATATTCCACAAGTTTTAAGAATTAGTACAGAGAATAGACCCAAGTTTCTGCCATTTGCTTATAGGCATTATAAGAGAAAACCAAATAAGAAATAAGCCAAAATGCGAGAAATCCAAAATTGTTAAAATTATTCAAAAAAGGAAGCCTCGTATTACACACACACACACACACACACAAACCTGATTCCTGGTCATTTCTCCAACAGTAGTTGGCCTGTAGTTGGAGTTAAAGAGATAACATTTCCACCTTGGTATAAGACTAAGATAACAAGTCCCTCACACACAACAGTATCTCAATCTAAAGTTAAATTAATTAAAAGGGCATTGAAGAAAAATGATTAGGGGAACTAATCTGTTTTCTTTGTCCCTTGGATGTCAAGGAACACAGAAAAGGACATGAGCATGAGACTTATGGACTGCCTCATCACAATCATATCAGACTTGGGTTGTCAATAGAGCTGATGTTTGAGTATATGTCAATTTTGGAAGACTCTTAGGAATAGGATGATGCGCAGATGTTTCACAATCAATTTTCAAAAGGGATGGTAAAGAATATGAAACCAAAACATCTGTTGTTGCAACATCTTTCTTGGTTTGCAACTCATTTATGGCTCCTTATTCTCAATGTAAATTAAGTCTTTTTTTGTGCACTATTAAACTCTTCTACTGACTCATTAATGATGTCTTCCAATTTATCTTTATTTCCCTTATCGTAGAAGACTTTGATATTCTTTATCTAGTTTTAGTTAATAGGGGAGTCAAGACAAGACTAAAAATTTCCTTTCTAATTTTTCACATTTAATCCAGTTACAAAAATATCAATTGTCATTTTCTCATCTAAATCAGTAAATATCATAAGTTTTTACTACTGAGCAACATATGCAGTCACTCTTAAATCTTTATACCCTTGTCTGATATGAGACTCTTGAGAATTCCAATTGCTTTAAGTGACCTTTGAAGACGTATTTATTTCTTAACCTTTTTTCACTTTACATTTGCCTAAAATTTCTCTTTCCTTAGTTAGGAATAGAACGTAAAAGAAATTCACCCACACACACACAAAGTACAACTACCCTATTTTTCCCAAGTTGTTTCGGAACTGGCGAGATTCTCAGATAAAAGAAAAATATAGAGAGAGAATTATCAAATAAGTAAATAAGCAAAGAAAAAATAATAGTAGAGTCAGCTGCCAAGTCTGTCTCTGTTGTTGACTCCGTCATGAATTACAAATTTTAGTAATTTATGATGCCATCCTTGGATCAACTAATGGAGGAGGGACGCTGTTAGACAGCTTTTTTTCTTTGATATATAGGAAGAACTTTCAGATTAATTTTGATATTTGCCCTATCATCTTTTATAAATAATTTTTAATATTATATATAGGTGTCACAACCCTTGCATTGCCTTTGTTTTAATAACTTATTGTTTTTGGATAAATATGAACATATTTGAGATAGAATCATACAGCTGAGTACTTGTTTAATAAGTCATACAGATGTTAGCTTGTCTTTGGAAGTTGGGAAATTTCCATAACATTTTGAATAATCACTTTCATCTTCTGCAATTTTTCAGTGGCAAACATCAATTGATTTGTACAGTTGAATTAAATCTGTTTATGATGATTATGGTATTATCAGGTGGATCATGACTTGGAGGAAGATCCTAGAATGAAGGTGTTGAAGAGGGATTGGTTTGAAGGAAAAAAATGCCTCGACATTGGCTGCAATAGTGGGTTGATCACAATCTCCATAGGTAATCAATAGTTCAGTTTTAATTTCATTGCTGAATGTCAGTTTTTACCCATAATGATAAATGTTTTACCACTAGCTATTTCATATACCTGCATAAGTTTTGAGTCGGTTCACCTGTTCATATGGGGAATGCAGAAATCGGAATGTAGTGGCCTTGGCTATTGTCATTTGAATACTGAAGTTCATTTGATTCTTCTTTTCTGCAGCAAAAAAGTTTGGCTGCCAAAGCATTCTTGGAGTTGACATTGATGGCGGTAAGTGTTTCCATGTTTTATCTTGACCCTTCTTTATACATTCCTGCACGACTAGGTTAATGTCATACTAGGTCTGGGGGCCTGTGTATGATGCTCACTATATTAGCAGATGAACATTTGCATTTATGTTTAGTTCTTGTAACTTTCAAGTGCATTTATGCTTGTATTTACTGGTGCAATTAATGTATGTGTTATCGGTTAATGATATGTTGCACTGTAGTACATCAAATAATTCCTTTATATATAGCAGGGCTAATTTGGATTAACCGTGTGCTCTCAAACTATTGCCATGTACTTACTTTATATCTTGTCTGTTGAGAGATGGTTTCATCACCATGCCATATGGAAAAAAATCGTGGTTTCTCCTTTCTTTGCATGTATGGAATATACACCAATATCCCGAAATAGGTGTCTGTTGAGCTTGAAAACAAAGTCAAGCTCTATGGTAAAACAAACAGCACAACGGATCTTTTTCAAGTTGGGTTGGATTAATTTATGTGCAACTTTAGATGTCGTTTTAAATATCTGATCTGATGTTGCAAGATTAGCAAATTCCTCTCGGTGACATCAGTTGTTGGGTCATTACAATCTTTGATTGTTCCATGCTGATTCTTCATTCGCACTTCCATGTGCGATAGGGAAACATTTTCCATTATTATAGACTTGTTATCAAAGTGACTGTTATCAAATTTTCAACTAATAAAACACAATAATTTAATTTATTTGATTAAATTCAAATATTTAACCTATTTTATTAGATTTTTCATTTTCTAAGAGAATTATATTTTTCCATTTATATATTTAGTGAAAACTCTGAGTACACTACTACACAGTTTAACAGTTTTAACTGAAAATTTGATTATCTGATTTATTTGTGGAAATGTATGGTAAGCATGACTCATATTTTTTAGTAAATATGAATAAACAAAAAATATAATTCTTATTTTTGGAAAATAAAATATTGGAGTGTATAACATTGTAATATCAAGCTATATAGTCACTTCTTTTCTCCGGACAAGTGATATTGTTACATGGCCAGTTACGGTTCTTATCAATTACATCAATATGGGCTTTGACCATAGGAAAGAGGAGAAATAAACTAGACAGGGAACAAATTTGCACAATTGTTATTCCTTTGGTCGAAAGGAGGGGAGTTTCCTTGATTCCTTTTCCCAGATGTAGCTCTTACGTATGACCATGGGTAAATCGTTGGTCTATGACTAATTTGTTCTTTTATTTTTTATTTTTTTCTTGCTAGTGGTTCTAGTCATCCCAAGTATTATGCATTTGCGGAAATTTATCACATCTTTAAAATGTCATTGCCACATTCAACATGGAATGAATTGTTTTAATCACGGTTCTTAATATTCCAGATAGAATTGAGGATGCACACTGGACTCTCCGGAAAGTTGCGAAGATGAGTGCTCGTATATTATCTTCCAAGAAACCCAAACGAGCAGATGCAGAGTTATTTAATGGGTTAGAGAACCATACAAGTGCATCACTGACTGAAGTGACACCACAGAAGTCTGTTGATACTCCTTGTTTGCAGGGAAATGATCTCTTTGACATAGTCTCTTTTCAGAAAGGAAATTTTGTTCAGAATTGGAGGCCACCGCAAGATACGTACTACCATACAATTCTTTGGTAAGATTGTTTTTGTTTCTGTCTAATTGATTTAACGTTTAAAAATGAAAGAAAGCATTTTCTGCTCCTCACTTGGAGAAAATGCAACTGGAATTAAAATAATTCTGGATCTAGTGATGTGTTCCTTAAAATAATGTTAGTAATTACAGCTCCATTAGTAGAAAAGTCTATTTCAAAAACAAAAAAGAGGAGTATAAAAAAAATGAAAGGTAGAAAGTGAGATGATTCTCTCCCTCCCCTTTCTTCCACCCTTTTCATTGTGTTGTTTCGTGCTCCCCTTATATGAACAAGAAATAGTTTGTTTGATAATTAATTCCTTGGATTAAAGAAAGTTCACGTGTGTTTTTTTATCAGGTCATAATTTTATATAGGAACTTTGCTTTTTAGTTTCTGTATGCATTTTCTGGTAACAAAATGCATTTTCTTCTCATTTTCCAGTTTAAGCGTGACAAAATGGATACATTTGAACTGGGGCGATGAAGGATTAATCACTTTGTTTTGGAAAGTTTGGAAGCTTCTTCAACCGGTAGATCCATTATTGCGCAGTTCAATTTTTAATAGAGTTGATTAATTTCTTATTCATATGCTTTTCCTGAATATCTCAACCATGCATACTTTGGGCAGGGTGGTGTTTTCATTTTGGAACCCCAACCTTGGAGCTCATATAAAAATAATCGGCTTGTGACTGAGGTATTGCTTTACCATGTGCAGGTCTTAATTCACACAAAAATGACCACTAGAAAGATAATGTGCTAATAACAATTTATTAATCAGTGTGAGGGCAACAGTATCATGCTTATATATTTAACACTTTCAGAAGTAGTTTGAACTGACTTGTTATTTTGTTTTGTAAAAGCTTTATTGTTCTGAGATGAGGTCCTTTAATATTGTGCAGACAGCCGCAACTAATTATAAAACTATTCAGATACCTCCAGAAGATTTTCAGGATATACTTCTGGACAAGGTAAATCTGGGCCCAAAGTTCTTTGAGCTCATGTTTGGTACAAATTCTTTAAAATTTACTTTTTATCAAACTCATTTTCAGTAACATATTCTCCCAAAAAAATTAACTTTTCGCAAAATCTATTATAAAATTATAATTCAGACAGGTCCTAAATGTAATATTTTACTTTAATTTGTTCTCTTTGAAGTTCAAAATCGGCCAATGAAGATTTATGAAGATCTCATTCTTGAGAAAACTGTTGATTTTTCATCTTCGACATCATTGCAGATTGGATTCCGCAGGGTAGATAACTTAACTTCCACATTATCTGGTTCCAAAACTGGATTTAACAGACCAATATTGGCTTTCTGGAAATGAATAGCTTCGGCACCTATAGTGAAGGTGTACAATGCTACTGTACGGCATCCCTGTCTCATTGGAAGTCATAAAATTTTGTTTCTTGCCATATAAATATCATGAGGTAAACATTGTTGAAGTACTCCATTAATTGTATTGAACAGAATAAAATATGCTATAAAAGTGTATTTTCTTACATTCTCTTTCAGATGGTTCACTTAGTGCTGATAAATGTACACAGGACAGACTGCAGGTAACGTTCCTTTTTTGGTGATTCCTATGACAGTGTGGGACTTAAACCCCTTGCAAAATTTCAGCTTCGGTGTCAGTTGTTTTTGTGTATGGTCCTGCTTTATCTGGAGGTTTGTTTATTTATTGATTTTTGTCTGAACGTCTTTTGTTCAGCTCCTTTGAAACCAGAAATTCGTGGCATAATCAGTGTTTGTGCGTGTATCATTCCTGCCGTCAGCACATGGATTATCGGCGCGATCTTATGTATATTTCTATACAAGAGGAAAACGGCTATTTCTTCAAATTCTCTTCTTTCTCCTGTTTTGAGTCAGCATCGTATTATATTTATTTTATTAGACTAAATTTCATGCACAGTCAAAATGAAAGATTATTATTCTTGCTTAGTGTTATTGAAATAAGCCTAAAATGTCTTTTATCGGTTGTCACCAATGTAATTGTTCATTGAAAAAAATAATTTAAAAATTTTTTGTTAATTGAAGTTCTTATCATTTAAAAAATTATTGTTAATTGAATTTGAATAGTAATTTTTAAGAGAATGTGCGGTTAAATAATGAAAAAAAGTTTGGATTTATGTACACAAAAAGATTGTGAAAATAATGATTGTCAAATAGAGGCTTAGTTTGCAGCCGACGATCCTGCTGAAGAGAATGACAGCTGAACGTAAACTATAAATCTTCATTTCGCTATTAAACGAGTAATCAGAATGAGCTACATACCCACGACGACCTTATGCTATCTTTATCTTCATCCTCATCTTCTACCAGAAATGATTATGGGCAGTTGGAAATTGTTGTCGAGCATTGAAATCTTAATGCAAAGTTCATCACACTGCATAATGGACTTCATGACCTCCACGAAATTTTTATTAATTTAATGGCCACAAAAATGTACTCATCTACACCAACTGGGATACTTCCCTCCAATTCGCATAACCTTACCTGAAGTACAAGAATTTATCTGTAGGAAATTACTAATCCATAGATATTGTTTCCGTCATTGATTTAAAATGCAGTCAAGCATCCATATCCATGATCATTACATCACCGAACACCACAATTTTTCACGATAAATCATATGATGCAAGTCATCAAAAGAGTTGGCCAAATATTGAAATTACCATAATCACGAGTCGAAAATTCCCAGCACACAAGAAAATTAATGATCATTGTAAAAACATGGTAATGATAACAAAATTCCTAGTAGACAGCCACTTAATATTCGATTAAGTTTTCTGGATCACCGATGTACAGCCATGGTCGAGCATAACAGCGATCTAGAGGCAACTTAATTACAGTGCATCGCCTTTTTACCCTTTCACTGAAAAGCAAACATTACAAGCCATCGTACACTGACCTGTATAACAAGCATTATATGGCATGATACATCACCTGCAAGTCTCTTTGTTGTTATTAATAAGCAGCGTATATCGTATTACTCTCACAATTTCATCAAATAACTGAAAGATCAAACCAGAAGATCAACAAGTCCTGCCCCGTCAGTATCTATTCAGACAAAATATAAGACTCTAATGGAAGCAAATATATGGAAAGAGCATCTCCAGCAAATTCTAAATACATGAAACATTTGATGGCTAATGTCAAATAAATTGGAAAGGAAGTAGTCCAAAAGCCACATCTTTCATGGAAGTTTCGCTTAATGTTAGTGCAAAAGTGTCTAGAGTTCCAGAGCTTTATAACTTCAGATAAATTTGATGCTTAAATTAGATAATTATTAAAAATGAAAGAGAACAGAATGGGCAAATCAAAATCACTGGAGGAAGCATAAGAGAATCGAAAATAATAGATTCCACGAGGCAGAGATGTTGGCACTTGTTCGGTATATGACAGTACAGAATGGGAGGGAGTAAGAAATGATTTTTTTCCCCCTAGACCTGATATGCTTATCTCTGTATGAAACAAATCAGGAACCTGCATGTAGAACTCTTTCACATGGTATTCCTGAAAGAAGAGCAGAAATGATTTTTTTCCCCCTAGACCTGATATGCTTATCTCTGTATGAAGCAAATCAGGAACCTGCATGTAGAACTCCTTCACATGGTATTCCTGAAAGAAGAGCCCTTTATTTCCAAATGACCAGATCAAACAAATATATCTAAAAAGAAAGGACTTCTACGAATATAACTTCCATGAATAGGTTGCCATGGAAGGAATATTCTTTCCTTCAACCATAATCATTTACAGAATGGAGCATAAAATAATGGCTTTCAAAATATCAAGATTCTGAATTTCCTCATCATCAAGGAATCTGATAACATTATTTATACATTTCTTAAAACGAAACTTATTCTAGTCACAAAAGGATATAAAGCTATGATGGCCAATGCAAGCAAAAATATCCAGAAATATTGTCCGACAGCTGTATATGCACAAAGTAAACAGTATGGTCTGCAACAGATAAAATGGAGTCTTATCCAAGTAGCAGCTACTATATCGTTGCATCAGTAAATTGGACAGGAACCAAGCTAAGATCAACCAAGGTGGTTACAATTCTTCTTGAGAAAGATATGTAAACAGATCTTCCACAAAACAGGACTAGTGAAATTCATTTTTAACAGCACTACAAACACCTCTATAGACAATGCATCGCCAGATTTTGTTGAATACAATGGAAGGTCCACACTTATCAATCATGTACTCATAACAACCTTGTTAACTGTCTCACAGAAGCTGGTACGTATAACTAGTCCAAGTTCAAACCACATCGTACCAAGTTCACAACATACCGTACCACGTACTTGAGGCTGGTTCTACCTGAAACAGAAAAGATGTACCTAAGCAGCAGAACATTATCCATTAAAATGTATTGTGTAGTACAAAATAGCCAAGGGAAGACGAGCAATAGTGGGCACAGGATGAAGGAACAGGAAGGATCAATTTTGAGAGAGAGAAGAGGAAAAGGGGGTGTCCCACATGAATCATTTGGCAGAAGAAATGCGCCGCAGAGAAGAAATCCAACTACTTGAAGGACCAGCATCATCATGCTTTCCGTGATTGACATTTGTGATTTCAGAAGATTCTATAGGTTTTGAGGCATTCCCTTTTGACATTCCAGCAGGAGAGAATGAAGTAGATGGCATGTGTGCATTGTTCATTGTCTGCAAAAACAAGTACATTTAAGCTTCCAATTGAACTGTGAGAAAATACAAAGAAATGATTTCTTCCAAGTCCCAACAACAAAGTAATAATAAAATATCGATAAGATAATTCAGACTGCCTTAGACAGGCACACTGTTTATCTTGCAAAAAAGCACAGCAAAAAAACACAAGAATTTTTTTTTCTTCACTTTCTCATTATAATCAAAACAAGATGTCATACATTTCTATCAAGATGAATCCCAGGAGCCACATTTCGATTTGCTGGTGATTTAAATTTCATGCTGAAACCGGCAGAAGTATCATTCTTTAATTTCATACGTTCAGTCAACTCAGCCGAGTAAGTAGCATTATTGCCTGCAGACATCAAATAGATGATAAGTGACACAAGTAGTTTCTTTCAGATGTAAAAACAGAAAAAATGATCTAGATTTCTGACTAGTGCATTTCTTCATATTTTATCTGATCTTTATTATCTGATTCTAACCTTTCTTGTAATATGCTTGTGATCTTTTGGGTTCACTTTTCAACTAGGCTACATCCGTGACTGAACAACATTACCATACAATTTGGTTTTTAACATTTATGTACAGATTCAATAAGTTGCATAATTTCTCAATATGACACCTAGTTCTCTTGAATGCAGAAGATATATTTTCTGTTATCTTTAATTATGCGGTTAGGTGAAGCACACTGAAAAATACAGACCTTGATGTTTTTCCACGTCCGCTGGAACTGCACGACTTCTTTCTCCAGGAATAGGCTTCAGGGGGGGATAAGGCATAGACAACAAGCAAAATTTGATGATACCCGTTGCTGTGTTTTACTTATTTGTGCCTGTTGGTACTTCAGGATGGTCCAATCAAATATGTAATCAAGTTCACATCCTGCAAGTTACAGAAACTTATTAGATTGATACTTTAAGACAGTAGTGAATACTGCGACAATTCACCCAACTTCTTAGCATAACTTTAGGTTGCCAATAAAGCTACTATACTAAGAGCATCATCATTCATTAACATGGAGAAGTAGGCGGCAAAAGCAACAAAACACATCAAAGTCACAGTGCCTAACGGAAGTTTTATAAATTGCATAGCCAGGATAGCAACACATAAGGCATACCTTCACGAGTGAATAGCTCACGGAAGAGGCGTTTCAAGAATCCATAATCAGGGCGTTGATCAAATGTCAATGAATGGCAGTAATGAAAGTATGAGGCAAATTCCACGGGATGGGACTTGCATAACACCTTCCAAAGAAAAATAAAGTATAGAAAATAAGTTTATAAAAGAATTAGAGAATGGTAAAGACAAAACTGATGCATGTACCTACCTCAATAGGAGTTGATAGTTTTTTCTCACATATCTTGTCATACTTTTGCTTTTTTGTGGCAGCTTTCAAACCCTGCCATGGAAGGCTATACACAAACTAGTGATTGGTTAAAAGAAACCAATGTATAACAACATTTTGCTGGAAGAAAATTAAAATAGAAAATAATGTAGAAGAATTGGCACACCTTCCTCTCAAGAAATACAAAAGAACGTATCCAAGGGATTCAAGGTCATCACGCCTGCTTTGTTCTACAAAACAAAGAAAATGTGATCCACGTATCCATGTGATAACCTATAATTTATCTTCCTCTTCTCCTGGTCTTTTAGAAACAGAAGTGGGGGTAGGATTACTGTCTTAAAAAGAAAGACCAGAAAAACTGCCTATCAGCTCACCAATTCCAAGATGAGTATTACAACTTGCATAGCGTGCAGTCCCTGTTAAATTTTTATTCTCCCTACATACAGAAAAAATAAAGCAATGTTTACTGGTCTTTATATCTTTGTTGTTGAAAACAATCTCATATAAAACTATAAACCAAGTCACATCATCATTCAAGTAGTAGCCATTAAAAAGAGTCATATCTTTGTTTTTTCCAAAATAAATATGAAAAGAAAATGCTTCCTAACCAAATAAGATAAGGTTCAGAACACTTTTGTATCTGCAAAACAAAATTTTGATTGATCAAATCGGTAAAAAGAAAAAGGAAATCAGATAAGGTGAAGTTATTCATATTCCAAAATGCCTCAGTAGCACATCCAGAGAGAAAGTACACCTGTAAGGGATATGCCGGTTTGTTGTGGAGTCTCGATATCTTTTAGCTAGACCAAAATCAATAATGTAAACCTAAAGAGAGTGATATTAGAATGAGAACTATGACAAATGAAGAGTAAAGGATGCAAAATAATAATAATAATTACTGGAAAAAGGAAATGGAACGAAATCAATTAGGAGTTCATTCCAAACAAACAATGAATGTGCTGTAGTTATGATCACCTGATTTGCTTTTCGGCCAAGACCCATAAGAAAATTATCAGGTTTAATATCCCGATGCAAAAACCCTTTAGAATGCACATATTCAATCCTCGTTATCTGTATAAAACAAATCCTAGGTTTAAAATTATGCATAGACCCATGAAAAATCAACTTTGGAGTGCAGAACTAAATCAAGAGTTTAAGACAAGCAGGAAACAAAAAAATATAATCCTAATTCTCACCATTTGATCGGCCAACATTAAGACAGTCTTCAACGAGAACTTTCTACCACAGTACACAAATAGGTCCTCAAGGCTTGGCCCCAATAAATCAAGGATAAGAATATTGTCATCCCCATCCACACCAGACCACTTTGTACCAGGTATACCACCTAAAATAAATGAAGGAATAAATAAAGGAAAACAGTCAAAGACAGATATGTGGTGTGGGGGGAGGGGGGGGGCGCACTTCAACCAACTAAAACTTCCAATGTCATTTCCCTTGGTCAGGTTACTTGGTGACATATAATTGATCCTATAATTTCATCCAAATAAAAGCTTGTGCAAATGTAGCCAAAATATATCAGAAAATACATTTTTATAATCTTTTATCATAATCTTACAATGTAATTTTAAATATTTATCAACTGATTATGCCAAGAGTATTGCAACTATAGGGCGTTCCTATTATAATGCAAGAAACATACTAAACTTCTAAGCTTGATCATAAAATTGTGTCGTAGTAGTGTTCCACACTGTTCAAGTCTCAAGTTTTTATTTTTATCTTTTATTTTTGAACCCCGAAAAAAGTGTAGTACAATAATAAGAGTGCTCGAGGATTGTTAAAGTCTGACTTATTGCGGTGCAATAGAGTTGTAATTTACAGCTTATTTCATACGCTCGCCAAGTCTGAAAAAAACCCATAGTGCTTTGCAAACATCAGCATGTCTTCTTTGATGATATGTATTAAATGCATTCAATGTAGTTATCTATACTATATCATATGAAGACAGTGCAACATGATGGTTGTGGTATATATTTGTGCTCATTCAATCATATTAATGGGAATACTCATTCACATATAAAATATAAGACGTGCGGTTCAAATCACTCGTGGTTTTCCGTAACTACGTACTTCCTCCTTGAAGAATATTGTATAACTTGGCCTCATAAAAAAGTTGTGGATGTTTTGTTTTATTATTTTCCTGCAAATGAAGATACAAAAAATATGAATTTATCAGCAAACGCTAGACTCATATAATCATTTAAGCAATGCTTGTAGCTCCCATAGAACAATTTGAGCGCCAAAGGTTCCATCTTGGGTCAAACCATTTTCAAGAAAACAAACATGTCCTAAGGGCTAACATTGGAAGCATACTCTTTACACTTTCTAATCACTCAACTTCAGAAAATTTGTTTTGCTCTTTAAGAAATGAGAAGTACAAAATTACATATGTTAAATGTATACATGCACATTTATTACATATATGAGTGGAAATAACATGCTCAATACATCAAACTATCGGATTCTATATCGAATTTTCACTTCACTAAAAAAAAAAAAAAA